AACGGAGACAAAATAGTGGTATCCGAGAAATGCTTGGGCTCTAATCACAACAATCACATCATAGAGAGTGCACACGCAGTTCTTTTTCATAGTGCAATCCTCAGATTGTTGTTTGTCTTCCCAAGAAGGGGTGCCCTTTGTAAAGGGCAATTGTTGGTCATCCCAAAATCGCTCCAACCCAAAACTTGGATAATAAGGGCGTATTCCTATAAATTGGGATCAAGATCAGACTTGTGTGGGACTGTGCAGTGCAAGTGTTGGAGTTGCATTTCAATGCAGTTCATTTTGGTTCCACGTTTGTCTGTTCCTGATCCCAAAGTGTAGGAATACGTCCTAAGCCCCTTTCACATGAGTGAGTACACCTTTTTTTTTTAAGGGGGTGAAAGTACATGAACAATGCAAAAACACCACCCACGGTCGTAACCGATTCTGTAGGGCCTAGGTACAGTGTACCATACCCTCTCGGAAACTCTATGGAGGTCTAAAAACCAAATGCCTTAAACATTCATCTTGCCCATTCGGGGTTCTCCTTGCAGAGTTGGCTCCCCTCAACTGCAGGTGAAACATACAGAGCATTTCTTGCTGAAAGCGGTTAGAAGTGGTTGTTGAAGCTAATACTCCATTTTGGAAGCGGTTAAAGCCCGATTCTAGAATGGTAGAAAACCATGATTACTGACCATGAAAACAGTGCAAAAAAAATTGGGCGAAAGTAATTTCGGCAGAGTTCCCCTGATGAAAAAAAATATTATGGCGAAATCCAGAACCATATTCTTCGGCAACAGCCGAGTTCAACAGTGCGTGAACAGTGCAGGGGGAGGGCGGGAGGGTGGGGGAAACAAACAGTGACGTGAGACCCCCACAAAAATGCGTTCAAAATAGTTGCAGGCAAAACTCAAGAATACTGAGATGAAAAGTGACCGGGGGTTTGTTTTACTCAGCGGAAGTTGCAAGCTGCCCCCCGTTCCCTGAGAGTTGCGACGTTTCCCCTGTATATACTACGTTACCCTTTATTCAACGAAAACAATCTCATGATTCATGAACTTGATAGCAAACCATTCTAGACTCGGGCTTTAAGAGTGGTTTCAGACGTACATGCAGTCTGGTGCTTAAATGGTAGGTAGAATGCTGCTGCAGAAATTGCTCCGAGTCTTCTCTTACTTCAGCGATGAGGGATTGCAGCAGCTACTGCTTCGAATCTGGCTCTCTCTTCTTGGACAAGTTCCCCCAGCAGGTCCCACCATCGTTCGTGCTTGCTGTGGGCCAGCCTTCCTCGCGAAAGTCCGATCTCCCCTTCTGCTAGAATCTAGACCAACGATATCAACCTCTTACACGTTTATATAACCCTCTCGTAGCTTCCCAACTTCAAGATCCACATTGTTCACCAGCTTAAATCACGGAAACTTCATGGTGTTCCCAGCAACAGCATTCTTTGTCGTGCGGCCCATCATCCTCGTTTTCTTCAGCAGACATATGGGCACTGTCACAGGATCGAATGTGTCGATGAAAGATTGCACTATCGATCAGTACAAGGCGCTTTTATACTTCCAGAGTACATAAGGTAACCCGGTTTATCTTATCCTAAGGGAATAGACCCTTCTATAATATAGAATCACTCAGCGTATAACCACGCGAGGCTATTGGCTTTAAGGGATTACGGCAGGATTACGCTAGATATAGCGCACCAGTACATCCCAAGCCTGGTCGGTGATATAATTATAATAGCAGGATAAACCAAAGGTGAATGGAAAAGGGAGAATAGGAAACCAAATGAGATGAGATAAAAAGAGAAATGAAAATAGGAAGGAAGTAGAAAAGGCCAAGTGGTGTAACGGGGTCGTACTCTCACTGGCACCATGGGCATGGCCTTGGTTCCTTCTCCCTTGGTTGCCTTTCCCTTGCATCGATCAGACTAACCTTGTGGCAGCTACCCCTCTAAGGCCACCTGTCAAACAACACCTCCCAGTTTAAACTCTTCAGCTATTGATCTCAAAAGTGAACGCCCATGCTCTGCCTTTCTTCTCCTTGGAACCATCAGCCCCCGATGTGGCAGCTACCCTTCTAACGCCACTTGTCAAACCACATCCAGCAGTTTCATCTCTTCACTTCCTGTCCCCTAATTCGTGTGCCCTCCTGACTATGGCATTACTGCGACTGAATGTGTAAAAGGTTAGTCTCGATATCCCCCTAGCTGACTCGGAAGTTACGCCACATGCCACATGCTCCAACTGATTGCATGACTCCAATTCCTAAGTCCTTGTGCCTTACACTGTGATTGTAGCTAGAGACAAAATGACATTCGGGATGTTGAAAAAAGTCCATGCTTGGATTCTGTCACACATTTTCTTCCTAAGTATGGTTCCACACCAATGATGAATTGAAGTGGACAAGCGGACGAGAACGTGTGATGGCCGAATCGGAGAAGTTGCTGACGTTGGAACATGTGCAGAGTGCTATTGCACCCTACAACAACCAGTGCCTTGTCATGGGAATGGGACTAGCTGGCTGCACATAATGCACTGATGAAGGGAATGGCCCCATATGGTATGTAGGTGCAGTAAGGCACAAGCAGCTTGAATGTTCGTCCATATTGCCCCCGCTCCTCATCCCCATTTTCCCACTCTCCAACATCCTTTACCTCCTTTCTCCTGCTCCCGCCTTGCTCAGGCATGCACTCCAACATTTGGCATCTTCCTTTCCCCTCTATTCCCATAAATCCTCATCCCCATATTCCCACTCTCCCCCTAATGCTTCACTTCCTTTCGTCTCTTTGCTGAGGAGTCTATTTCTAAGGGGCCTCAAAATAAGTCATTTCATTCCCCTCTATTCCCACCAACCCTCATGCCCATTCTCCCAATCTCCCACTTGCTTCACCTCCTTTCGCCTCCTGTTCCTCTCCATCCCTTGTTGTTCCCACTATGCTCATCCATCACCCAGCTTGGTTTTATATTGATAAGATGCTTGTTCCTCCGGCCTCTTCCTTCCCTCCCACCATGCTCGTGCATCATCCAGCTTGGTGTTTTGTATTGATAAGATTCTTGTTCCTTCGCACACATTCCTTCCCTTCCGCCATGCTCATGCATCATCAATCTTGGTTTTATATTGATAAGATACTTGTTCCTCCGCGCCTCTTCGTTCTCTCCCGCCCTGCTCAAGCATCAACTAGTCACCATTCCATCTGTGAGCTACATACGAAAAAAAAAGGAAAAAAAAAGAGAAAAAAAAGATAGGATTGGTGCAATGTGCCTTCCCTATCAAGGCTGATAAGACAATGTGCATCTCAGCCCACTTTTCAGTCAACTCAAAGCCAGACTCATAACATACGATTTTATATTAGTAAAAACACTTGTTCTTCGCTGCCCCTTCCATTCCTCGCTTCTCCTGCCCTGCGCAGGCGGGAGTCCACAGTGGCATTGGTGAGGCACCTGCTCATTCAGGACATGCACGCTTGCAACCTGACATTTCTATGCTCGACTTCATATTAATAAGGAGTACTTTTCCCCCCTCACCCCTTCTATGCCTTGCTGCTCCCGCCATTCGCAGGCGAGGAGTCCACATTGGCATCCGTAAGCTAAACGCTGATTCCGGGCACGCGCGAGACAAGGCGTCCCGACCCTATACCTTCTGCCTCAACTACATGGCCTGCACGGTTTTCACGTCGGCGGTGGCAGGCATATACAATTCCGTGACCTTGGTTTATAACATCGATAGTGCTCCGAGTTGCATGTGGTCAGATCTTGTCTTAAAAGACTCTTGTAGCATGGGGGAAGGGAGTGTGCAAGGGGCTTACCACCTGGCAACCACAAACACTGCGCTGGTCGAGTAAGTGCCACTTGGCTGCCTTTCAGCAGGTGACTTTTGAGAATCTTCAGGAAACGCCTGCAGCAGTGTGCCTGCCGGGGCTCACCCCTTTGGAACCACAACGTACATTGCACTATTCGAGTAAGCAGCTAGTTTGCTGCACTCCCCTTTCCCCCCCACACTCCACACTCTTGCTTATCTCTTAATCAATGACCCTCGCATGCGGCATCTCACCTCACAACTTCCCCATATTTCCATCGTTGTATCTTCCTGCCTTCCCTATTTGGTTGGACATGTTGAGGCCTGGCATATTCCGATCTGGCAAAGCGCTAATTTCTTCTAGAAGAGCAAGATTTGCACTTGGTGATCGGCACTTGGTGATCTGCACTTGACGATATGCACTTGGCAATTTGCGGTTGGCGATCGGCACTTGACTTACTTTGTACCGTCTCCTCTTGCAACGATTCATGCCCTAAGAGAGACAAAGGGGAAGGGGGAGAGAAAAGAGGACTGGACATTAACAGGGGTATTGGGGGCAGCAGGGAAGGGGGCATGGGCAACAAGGGGGAAGGTATGGGCAAGACAAGGTAGGGGAGTACCGGAAGGTATACGATAATTCTGAAATGTAAGAAAAGAGTGGCCTATGAGCCAGGGAGCATGCAAAGAAATGGTGAACGAGAAGTGATCGTTCTTTGTTTGATAATGCAATGCAAGGGGGGTGCATGCTTATCACAAGCCTTTGAAATTGGTATTTACATGTTGTAGTTCGTGGTTGATGCGTCAGTATCGAATATGCTTGTATACAATTTGGTTGCCTCTCGTAGGATGACTGGACGGTTTTGTTGCTGTATTTTTTGTATTACAATATGAGACTGTAGATTGCAAAAAAAAATTCAAGAAGCGGAGCTCTAAACTTGTATGAATGCAATTTGCCTAGGTTTTGATTTGAAAATGAGGGCTTTTTCAAGTTTCAATCGTAATCGACAATGTTGGACTGTTCAACTTTCGTGCCTCGTAACAGAGCTTTTTAGTCGAGCAGCCCAATGCGACTTTCGCGAGGGTGTGGCTGGCGATCATCCAATCCCAGTGGGATTGACACAAATGCTCTTTCGCTCATCGTGGTTGGAATGGTGCACCAGAGTCGGTCATCTTCATATCCAACGGTTCATATTTTTAGGCCTCCTTCCTCACAAGCACAAGCCAGTCAAGTTTCAGGGTCTATAAATCGTCGCCTGGGGCTCGTAGAGCCGTCATTTCTCGTTGCGCCGACCATGGCGAAGGACGGCTGGCGTCACTCTTACCTGCAGACCGCTCCGAACGTCACTATCCACTTCGTGGAAGCCGGCCCGCCTACCAGCCAACTGGTTCGTCTACCAGCTTTCCTCCAACTCGAGGTCTTTTCGCCTGTTTCTGATTTAGTTGCAGTTCTCGTGCGAAGTCCTTCTATAAACATCACCTTTCTTTGGTCTGTTCACGCGAAGTCCTTCTATAAACAGAAATCTTTGGCTTTCGGGTTTCGTGGAGTAGGCTTTCCGTATCCATTACACCTTGGAGTTCTGAGTTTCACTGCACGCCTCAAAGCATGCCCGTCGTCGTCGCTTGTTCCTTGTTCTCGTAGCTCGTCGCTCTTCGCTCGTCGCTCGCAGGTCGTTCTGCTGCACAGGTTGCACGAGTTCTCGTACATTTGCCACGAGTTCTGAGGCGCCTCAGAATTTGTCGTCTATTACGCACATTCTAACGCTCGGTTTTTGCTCGTCGTCGGTTGTCCTTGTCGCTCGCAGGTCGTTCTGCTGCACGGCTTTCCCGAGTTCTGGTACACGTGGCACAAGCAGATTGCTCCGTTAGCCGACGCGGGGTTGCGCGTGGTCGTTCCGGACCTAAGAGGCTTCGGCGAATCTTCGCGGCCGGCGGGATTCGCATCGTACAGTCGCCGGCATGTCTGCGCTGACGTGGCGTCGCTCATCTCGCACTGCCTTTCCCGTGCGACAGATGCGGCGACAGATGTGGCGACAGATGCTGGCGAAGCTGCGAGTGCCATCAGCAGCAGCGTAGTGGCTGGTGCTGGTCGCACGTCGCCTGTAACGGCTCCAGGCGAAAGTGGTTTGCGACAAAGAAGCAGCGAGCGCGGCGGAGAGCGGAGGAAGGCTGACGTGGTGAGTGGAAGGCTGGGGTGGTGGGGATTGTGGCTGACGTGGTGAGATGGGAGGCTGACGTGGTGAGATGGGAGGCTGACGTGGTGATATGGGAGGCTGACGTGGTGAGGTGGAAGGCCGGGGTAGTGATACTGGCTGATGTCGCATGCAGCATGGCGATGGATGGACCATCCGCATCTCCCATCCATAATCCCTCCCGTACCACGCAATCTGGGGCATCAGGTGGGCCAGGCATGGGGCGCATTCATCGCATGGGCCATGCCATGCCATGCCATGCCATGCCATGCCATGCCATGCCATGCCATGCCATGCCATGCCATGCCATGCCATGCCATGCCATGCCATGCCATGGACCGTCCCCATCTGATTCGCCGTGTTGCCGTTTTCTGAGGGTGGCACCCTCTCCCCATCCACCACCCGCACCTTATTCTCAACTCTATTCCACTTCTCCCCCAATCAGGTGGGTCACGGGTGGGATGGGAAGCACTCATAGCGTGGGCCATGGCCATGGCCATGGCCCATGCACCATTGATTCTCCGTGTAGTGTAACTGTGCTCTGTGGGCTCCCTCCCCCTCCCTATCCACCATCCGCATCTTGTTCTCAACCGTATTCCCCCAACCAGGTGGGCCATGGGTGGGGCGCCTTCATCGCATGGGCCATGGCCTCGGACCATGCACATGTTAGTCTCATCCTGCTCCCTCTCTTCCCCATCTGCCTTCCACCAGGTAGGTCACGAGTGGGGCACATTCATCGCATGGCAGCATGGGCCACGCCCATGGAACATCCGCACCTAGATCTTCTCCGTGCTCCCTTCCTTACCACTCACTGTGTCATCAGGTGGGCTATGGGTGGGCCGCCTTCATAGCATGGGCCATGCCCATGGACGATGCGCAACGTGCAGTGCTTCCCTTCTCCCCCCCACCCCCCTCCCCGTGCCTCCCTTCCCCCTCTATCCGCATGCCACCAGGTGGATCACGGGCGGAGCGCATGCATCGCATGGGCCAAGCGTGCCTCGTCTGCTCTGCTCCCCCCCCCACAACGCTTCTTCCTCCGTCTCTCTTCCCTTCCCGGCACTCTGCCAGGTGGCATGAGTGGGGCGCCTTCATCGTAGGGCCATGGTCGGCCATCGCCACCCCCATTTGATTTGACGTGCCGCTGTGCTCTGTGGGCCCCACCCCCTCGGTATCCACCATCTGCATCGTGTTCTCATTCATATTCCCCCTCGCCTCGCCCCCCATCAGATGGGTCATGGGTGGGGCGCCTTCATCGCATGGGCCATGGCCTCGGACCATGCACACGTCATTCGCCCCGAAAACCCCACACTCCACCTCCACCCTACCCCGCCCAATCTGCCTTTTCATCAGGTGGGCCACGGTTGGGTCGCCTTCATAGCGTGGGCCATAGCCATGGACCCGCATCTCATTCGCCGCGTAGCTGTGCTCTGTGATGTGACTGTGTGGGCGCCTCCCTCTCCCTTCCACCATCCGCACCTTGCTCTCGACCGTATTCCCCCTCTCCCTGCATCAGGTGGGTCACGGGTGGGGCGCGTTCATAGCGTGGGCCATGGCCATGGACCATGCGCACCTCATCCGCCGTGTGGCGGTGCTATGTGGGCCCCACCCCGTGGTCTTCCACCGCTGCCTGTCCATCTGGCAACCATTGACTCTGCTGCGATATTTCTACTGGTGTGAGTTTTGCGAGCCCCGCCATGTAACTGCTTTCATCATCCCCATAATTGACTGCTTGGCGGCGGTGCTCTGTGGGCCCCACCCCTTTGTCTTCCACTGCTGCCTGTCCATCCGGCAGCCATTGACCTTGCATTGGTTTCAATCATGCAAAGCACACTGATCCGTCATGCATCTATTTGTGTCGCGTGTTTGCTTTCAATTGTATTCAATTTTCTCGTATTCATCCTCAATCCGTACATCTCCCCTCTCCGTGTCCTACCCTTCCCCCCCCCCCTCCCCCCCCCCCTGTTGCTTTCAGTCCTCTTCCTCGTCCCATGTCTTCCCGAGTGGTTCCTTGCCCGAAACAAGTGAGGGAGACGCCCATGTTGCATGCAAACAAGTCACGTGCACTCGATTGGGATTCGTATCATTCTCGGCAATCTGCCGTGTTGTCTTGTCTTGTCTTGTGTTTCACACCCCATGTCTCACATGCAAGTGCACGCACTCACTCGTCTTCCTCGCATCCATGCCTCCAACAAACCCATGCCCTCCCCCTCCTGCCCATCCTCTTTCTCACCCCGTGCCCGCCTACAGAGGAGCCTGCTTCAAATCCTTCACTCTTCTTTTCCGTGTCTGCCTGCCTCTCGCCTTTCCTCCTCCCCCGCCCTCACCCCCACCCCCAGCTGTGCAGCTGTGCAGAGGGTGGATCACCAGGAGCCCCTGCGCCCCTGCTGCTTGCCTTATCACTCTTGTCTTCACTCTTTGCCTTATTGGTCTCTTCCCTTGTCTCCCAATCTCTTCACTCGCACCCCCAGCTGTGCAGCGTTACAGAAGGTGTATCGCCAGGAGCCCCTGCGCCCACTGCCCCCTGCTGACGTGCAAAGGTAAGAGAGGGGTACGGAAGAGGTATGGAAGAGGTACGAATCTAGTGCGGAAGAGGTACCAAACTGGTATGGAAGAGGTAAGGGAATGGTGAGAGCGAGGGGGAGGGAGAGGTTGTGGCATGTGGGACGAAGAGGAGTTGGGGGTGGGAGGTGAGGGAGGCAGGGTGTAAGAAAATGGATTGGGAGAGATTGGGAGAGATGGGGTTGGATTGGATCTGAAAACGTGGGGTTTGGAATGGGGAGCCCTGATAGAAGGGGTGGGGGAAAGGGTGAGATTACACATGCCATACTGTCGCACATGCCATGCTGCCACACTTGCCATGCTGCCACACTTGCCATGCTGCCACACATGCCATGCTGCCACACATGCTTCCATGACATGGGCCCTCTCTCAGGCGTCTTACACCCCCATCCGCCTCCCTCCACTCTTACCCTGCCTGCAGCCACGTGGCAGCCTTCTCCACCGATGGTGCGCTGACAGCTGGCATCGCGTACCACCGGGCATTCCTCAGAGGGTTGTGGCAGTTCGGATGTCCTGTAACTGTGCCCCACAGGGTGCTCGTGCTGTGGGCGGGAAAGGACAAATATGCCCGCCCGCATATGGCTGTGCCGCCGCCCTCCCTTGTGCCCAATACTCAAGTTGTTCATTTCCCCGAGGTCAGTGTGTGCTGCTCCACCACTCTTCAACATCACACCACCACTCGTCACTTCATCTTGTACAACTAAGTTCATGAATACACTCTTGATTCACTCCCACACTGCTCCTTACATCTCTGCACCACTTTTTATTTCCATAGATGGTTTTTTCCCGTCATGACGGGTCAAACAGAACAACAGCATACCTTCTGCTATTGCAATATGTTTCTCCTACCCCTTCATGATTACCGTAATCCCCCGGATAAAACACCCGCCGAAATTAAGCACCCACTGGTGTTATATCCGGGGAGGGTGTTCTATTGAAGAATCCGCAATTATATACCCTCTTTTTGAGGGTTCCAGGAGAGCACCCCCCCTTACCATTTTAGCCCTTCTAAGCCTTGCAACTCTTGGAACAAATACTGTTTTTTCATGCGATTTCATGGTGAGCATGACCATTACGTAAAAGTCCAACTTTACCGAGGTGCGTGGCGGGGTGCTTCAGTTCTGAAAATGACGGGGTGAAACAAAAAATTACCTGGAACAGCACAGTGGGCTGACAAATTTCGTTTCATTTGTGCGAGAGACTTGTTCTGACTGGTTGACGAGCCTCGCGATTTTCGCCTAGCCTATTGCGAGAATCGCCAACACCCGAATCTCGCTTCTCCAACCTGACACACCCCTGATATTCGGGAGCAAGTGGGTGATTTGGGGGTATTCCAGACCTCGAGAAAATGTACGCCTTTTCAGCTGGAACTTGGATGGCTGAAATCGCCATGAAACACCGATTCCAATGCACATCTAAAAAATTCTGTCAAATATAACACCAGGGTGCTATAGCCTAAACGCGAAATAGAGCACCCACCCCCCTGATTTTGCATGAATTTTGTACTATACCCAGGGTGTTATATCCGGGGGATTACGGTATGCTTACTTGTCCTTCGCCCATGAATCCGCTTGTGCCCTTCCGCTCATGAATTTGCATGCGCTCCGCTTTCTCCGACATTTTTCCTTGGTTTTCAACTTGCAGCTCACCTATTGGATGATGTGGGATGATCCACATCAAGTGAACGGTCGTTTGATCGGATTCTTGTCATCAACGGATAATGGAATGGAATAGAGACAAAGTGAAAATTGAGTCTACTGCATCTCTGAGTTAGCACAAAAGCACCTTGTATCTCATTCTAGTCAAGTTTCGAAGGGGTTGTACTCTCTAAAAGTACGCACCTATCCAGATTATAAGACATATACATATATGTTTTGACACACCCCTAGTGATAAATTCATACTTCAGCATAGGTATGTAAGTGGTTCCGATAGATATTATCGAGTGACCCTGTAGTTACCATCCATAGAATGACGTCAGCAAATAGTGCTCGCCTGGATGAATACGTCAGCAGGCCTTTTTAGTCACGCGAACAGTCGCGCCCCTTTCAGTAGCGATTAGAGCGCATAGCGCAAATAGTTTGGGAAAAGTACATTACCGAACGGGTACTTTAAGCAAGTACAAAATAGCTTGTTTCTCTTCTAACATTAACTTTTTCTTCAGTAAATTCTGGTCAAAACTTACCGAAATCCCCAGGATAGACGCCCCTAGGGGCGTTTAGGGCGAAACGTTTTTTTTTTTTTCTTCTTTCTTTCTTTTTCTTGAGAGGCCTAAAATCGAATTTTGAAATATAAGCCCTAGGGCCAAACTCATGCATGGTGTTGGAAATATCTCAAAGGACTTAAGCGTTTCTGAAGTATAACACTGTACTCGAGGAAGACTACAGGGGAGCACGCGAGTCAACGGAGGTTGCACGAGGGGGCGGACAAAGAATACGAAAAGACTCGAAAGGTCGCAACTGGAGGTTACGACTGACCGTTACAACATCACGGATGGTAACCGAAGCGGCAATCGAGTCGCTGTGCGACTCGATAAACCGTTCCTGTAACTGTATTCTACAACTGCTTTCTTATCTTCTATATATTGCTGTATGCTTGTTTCTTTAATCAATCACTTGTTCTCACATACTAGTACAAGGGTTCAACCGTCTCAACTTCCGCTGCACTACTCAAAGTCTCAAGTCTTCACAGCTGGGACTTAGTCTCTGAAAGGATCCTAAGGGCTTTTTCTCAGCCCAATATGGTATGAGAGCTGGTTAGAGACCAAACTCCCAGCAACTGCGCTCCATCAACCTGCAACTCAACTCAATTCAACGACTTCATTGATCACAAGACATGGACAGCAAGGGCAAGAAAGTCTCTACGGGCTCACCCAGCGGCCAAGAAACTCAACACGGCAACTCTGGTCTGCACACTTCAGGACCGCAGACAGAGACCGGGACTGCTCAAGAAACAACGGGAAGAGTACCAGAGATGGTGACTCCATCTCCCTCTTCAAGCGTGGACCCCAAGCTTATGGAAAGGTTCTTCAGCTTCATGTCGCACTTCGACCAGCAGCAGCAGACAAGGACATCTGCGCATTCAACACAGAGCAATGGAGGAAACATGGGATTAGCGCCGATGAGCCTCGACAACTCATCGTTTGGGCGACACAATCAAGCGCCTACCTTTGCGCCTTATCACTCTTCACCGGGGACGTTCGAGTTCATGCCGCCCCGTGCCCAACCAACAGCAGCTGCATCACAACAAACACCAAACGAAATCTTAAGTCTCCAGGCGCAGTTTTCACACGTGATTAAACTGCAGACATCCTCACCGTTCAACGGACACGACTTCTTTACCTGGAGCTTCGAGTTCGAGCTGCTGATGGAGGCTGCGCACCTTCTGGGATACTTCAACGGGTCCCTGCCATTCCCAAGCAACGGCACTGGAAAGGAACAAGAAATCTTCACGTATCAGTCGCTGCTGGCGTATACGGTTCTCCTGAGAAACCTGTCACCACAAGAACAGCAGAGCATCAGAACATACAGGAGCTATGGAAACTCCGCGGAGCTTGCATGGCACCATCTCAAGTGCCTCTACCAAGCAAACGACAGCGTGACACAAAGCAGACTCATGCAACAACTGACAACAATACAAATGAAGACCGGGGAAAAGGCGATGCAGTATATGAGCCGCTGCCAGACCCTCCGCGACCGCCTGCTTCGGTGCGGAGGAACAATCACTGAAGAAAGCTTCGTGACACTTGTCCTCGCCGGGCTCGGGCCAGAATGGAGAACCACACGATCGCTTCTTCGCGCCCACGGAAGGATTTCGGAGATGCACCTCTGCGCCGAGCTTCACGCTGAACAACAGGAGATGGACCTGTTCGAAGAAAGACAACCAAGGAAGCAGCAGCAGTTAGTCTTCTACACTCAACGAAGAAACGACAACACCTACAATCGACGCGGCAAACAAGAACGCGACAACAGGGGATTTACCTTCGTGCCGCCGTTCTGCCACAACTGCCAGACTTCCGGGCACTCCAAGGTCAACTACAACCGCCCTCGCGTTTACCGTCCAGCAGACCCACAAGTCGCTTCCACTCAAGCAAGTCCCCCAAGACGCTCTTCAACATCTGCACAACAGACACCAAATATTATCAATTGCATGGTACACATCGACAACTGCGCACCCGGCTCACCACCCACTTACGCGCCAGACGAAGAAGAGCTCCCGCCACCGCGCTCACAAGGCCTTCAAGTCAATCCAACATATGCTGCGGTCGCCAACGCCGAACCCACCGGGCGAAACACCTGGTTCTTGGACAGCTGCTGCGGGCAACACATGTGCTCCTCAGGAGGATTCGTGCAACAGGAGAAACGCCTCAACCGCGACGTCGTCATCAGCGTCGCCAACAACGAAAATCTGAAGACAAACAGACAAGGCGTGGTTTCAGTTACAATCCATGGAGACAAACGTCATACTTCAGCTCAACAAAGTCCTCATTGTCGACAACCTGGGATACAACCTACTAAGCGTAAGCCAACTAATGGCCAAGGAGATTCACCTGGAGTGCGGCTCCTACTCCAACGAGTTTCGGCTATAGCACGGAAAGGGTGGCCTCTTCATCGGTCGTGCCCTCCTGAAATCCGGCGTCTTCGTGTTGGACTTCGTCCCCGATCGCGGTACTGCCGACAGCGACGGCATCGTATCATTCGCAGCCTGGACACACCCGCCGGATCTTGATCTAGAATTCGACAGTGACGGCTTCTGGCACTCCAACACCATACCTGCAGCAGAAAGAACACGAGCATTAGCAGTCATCAGACAAGAAAGACAAGTACCCGCGAGTATCCCAACCAAACCATCACCTGCAGTAGCAGCAGCAGGACCCAGCCGAGTCCCACCACCGGCGATCCGAGGACCGCCAACCGAAGCAGACCAACTTATGCCCATCACACGAGAAGTTTGTCGAAGTCCCGCCACAGTCGTCGCGTTCTTCTCCAACGCCGACATATACCACCGCTCGCCGGGTCATCGCGCTTCCGACGACATCTGGCACCAACGCCTCGGGCACCCTGCAAACAGCACGATACTACAAACAATCCAAGCAGAGGTGTTAGAACGCAACGCCCTCCTAACGACGAGCGGCCAAGAACTTCGAAGACCACGAGCACGGTGCTTCACGTGCCCCGAAGTAGATCTTCCCCATCAGCCTTTTCCATCTCATCACAACCCAAGCGCACCTACCTACGCTCTGATGGAAAAAGTCTACAACGATATTTTAAACATGCCTCGAGAAGACACCGAAGCCGACTTCAACTACGTCATCACGTTCATCGACGCAGCAACCAGATACGTCTGGCACTTCAATCTCAAGACGCGCGATCAAGCTTTCGACGCCTTCACAACGTGGCTTCCCATCGCCGAACGAGAATCAGGAACCAAGCTCAAGAGCTTCCAGTCAGACGGTGCACTGGAATACCAGTCACAACGCTTCAGGACCTATCTGGCGGAAAGAGGAATCAGACGCCTGGTGTCTCTGCCCTATGCTCACCAGCAGCAGGGGGTCGCAGAACGCATGAACCGGACCTTGCAGACGACGATGCGAAAACTGCTTCTGGGAATGAGGCTGCCCACCACACTGTGGCCAGACGCGATAACACATGCAGTTCACCTGCACAACCTGCTGTCCTCGTCATCGCTTCCCAACAACGCATCACCGCACCTGTTGTGGACAAGAAAAAGGGGCAGCACAAAATTACTACGAGTTTTTGGCTGCATGGTACAATACAGACCCCACACAGCCCGAGCAGTACGCTTCACACAACGAGCTCGGTGGGGACTACACCTCGGCATCGCCAAACATTTCCACGCGTGGAAAATTCTCGACATACAAGACAAAAATACCGTGGCATCACGTAATGTTATCTTCTACGAGCGACTGACGCTGCACCATTACCTGGACAACATTGCCCACACACAAGACCCCACCGACGGCTTCTCCAAACTCCGTTCCTTCGCCGACCGTGCTGCCGAAGCTGACGCGGCAGAAGAAGACGTACCTGAAGCCTCGGAAGCTGCCGGACCACTCCCATTCTGTTCCGTACCTGTTCCACTCGACGAAGACAATCCTCTCGATAGCAACAACCTCGACACCTTTTACCACTTTGCTGACCAAGGTTACATTACACCCCACCCAGTCGACACAAATGTTTCAGAACGCATCGGTCCCAACTTCTTACCTGACCCAGAAGACGGTGACGAAGCAGCTTATTCCGGGAATGAAAATTCCCCTCGACACACACCCACAGGACTGCAGATTTTAGGCCTCTGGGTCTCCGTCCAGCATCCGCCGCCGCCTTCTCCGCGAGAGCCTTCGACCCTGTCGCAGGCTCTGGGGGGGGAATATAAGGCGAAATGGAAGGAAGCGATGGAAAAGGAGTTAAAGGCTCTGCAAGACCGGAAAACATGGAAACTGGTACCTGCAACAAGCATCAACGGGAAAAACGTCCTCTCGGGGAAATGGGTGTACCGCATTAAGACCAACTCAGACGGCTCCATCGAACGATTCAAAGCTCGATGGGTCGTACGAGGCTTCGATCAACGATACGGGACCGACTACACAGAAACCTTCGCTCCAGTCTCCCGTCACACCTCATTACGCATCCTACTCGCCGTCGCGGCCACGAAGACATTACCACTACGCCAAATCGACGTCGCGAATGCGTTCCTATACGCACCTGTGGACGCCGAGATTTTCGTCGAACAACCCCACGGATTCATCGACGACCCCACGAAAGTATGCCAACTGACAAAATCCTTATACGGGATCAAGCAAGCCCCGCGGCTCTGGCAGCAGCATCTCCACGGCCGTCTCGCAAAAATCGGATTCCTACAGCTGCCGCATGGCCAAGGAATGTACCGACTGCAGAAGGGAAGAGAGTATATCCTACTCATCGTCTACGTCGACGACCTGCTCTACATCGGCTCCACTACCGACATCGCCACCTGGTTCGAACGGGAGCTGAAAGAAGACTTAACACTCACGGTGTCCGACGAAGTGACCCAGTACCTAGGACTGAATGTCGACGAAAACGACACGGCGTTCTACCTACACGTTGGAAAGTACTCAGGCACCGTCGTGAAGAAATTCGGTTTAACACCGACTACTGTCCCAACCCCCTACCACTACGGGAACAACAACAACACCTCCGCAAAACTCCCCGCGAAGCAAATCCAGGAGTATCAACAGAAGCTCGGCTGCCTACTATTCGCAGCAGTAACCTGCCGACCCGACCTGTCCTATAGTGCGAGTCAACTGGCGGCGCATCTGAAGCAATCGGAACAGGAAGATCTTGAGGAGCTCAACCGGGCACTACTCTACTTCGTCTCCACGCCGACGATCGGGCTTACCTACAGCAAAGCGACAACACCGTCCGTACGACTACTCGGATACGTCGACGCCGACCACGCGGGAGATAGGGAAAATCGACGATCTAGGACGGGCTACATCTACCGACTAGAACCCATCGGAACTATCTCCTGGCAGTCGAGCAAGCAGGAGTTAATCGCACTATCCTCGGCTGAAGCAGAGTATATCGCCCTTTGTACTGCGACCAAGGAAGGACTCTACCTGCGGGAGTTACTCGAGGAAGCGAAGATCGCGACCCTGCCCGCCTTCTCACTCCTCTGCGACAACCAATCTGCGATCAAAATCGCGAACAAGGACGGCTTCGCCAACCGAACCAAGCACATCGCCCTGCGGTACTTCTTCGTCAAGGATGAAATCGCGAAGGGGAGACTTCAACTCAGTTACTGCTCGACGACAGAAATGGCCGCAGATTATCTGACGAAGAAATTGGCGAAAGCAAAATTCGACTACTACATGCTCCTGACCGGGCAAACAAACGTCACCGGATCTAAACATGCCAGCACTCCAGAAACGAAGGGGAGTGTTGGAAATATCTCAAAGGACTTAAGCGTTTCTGAAGTATAACACTGTACTCGAGGAAGACTACAGGGGAGCACGCGAGTCAACGGAGGTTGCACGAGGGGGCGGACAAAGAATACGAAAAGACTCGAAAGGTCGCAACTGGAGGTTACGACTGACCGTTACAACATCACGGATGGTAACCGAAGCGGCAATCGAGTCGCTGTGCGACTCGATAAACCGTTCCTGTAACTGTATTCTACAACTGCTTTCTTATCTTCTATATATTGCTGTATGCTTGTTTCTTTAATCAATCACTTGTTCTCACATACTAGTACAAGGGTTCAACCGTCTCAACTTCCGCTGCACTACTCAAAGTCTCAAGTCTTCACAGCTGGGACTTAGTCTCTGAAAGGATCCTAAGGGCTTTTTCTCAGCCCAATATGGTATGAGAGCTGGTTAGAGACCAAACTCCCAGCAACTGCGCTCCATCAACCTGCAACTCAACTCAATTCAACGACTTCATTGATCACAAGACATGGACAGCAAGGGCAAGAAAGTCTCTACGGGCTCACCCAGCGGCCAAGAAACTCAACACGGCAACTCTGGTCTGCACACTTCAGGACTGCAGACAGAGACCGGGACTGCTCAAGAAACAACGGGAAGAGTACCAGAGATGGTGACTCCATCTCCCTCTTCAAGCGTGGACCCCAAGCTTATGGAAAGGTTCTTCAGCTTCATGTCGCACTTCGACCAGCAGCAGCAGACAAGGACATCTGCGCATTCAACACAGAGCAATGGAGGAAACATGGGATTAGCGCCGATGAGCCTCGACAACTCATCGTTTGGGCGACACAATCAAGCGCCTACCTTTGCGCCTTATCACTCTTCACCGGGGACGTTCGAGTTCATGCCGCCCCGTGCCCAACCAACAGCAGCTGCATCACAACAAACACCAAACGAAATCTTAAGTCTCCAGGCGCAGTTTTCACACGTGATTAAACTGCAGACATCCTCACCGTTCAACGGACACGACTTCTTTACCTGGAGCTTCGAGTTCGAGCTGCTGATGGAGGCTGCGCACCTTCTGGGATACTTCAACGGGTCCCTGCCATTCCCAAGCAACGGCACTGGAAAGGAACAAGAAATCTTCACGTATCAGTCGCTGCTGGCGTATACGGTTCTCCTGAGAAACCTGTCACCACAAGAACAGCAGAGCATCAGAACATACAGGAGCTATGGAAACTCCGCGGAGCTTGCATGGCACCATCTCAAGTGCCTCTACCAAGCAAACGACAGCGTGACACAAAGCAGACTCATGCAACAACTGACAACAATACAAATGAAGACCGGGGAAAAGGCGATGCAGTATATGAGCCGCTGCCAGACCCTCCGCGACCGCCTGCTTCGGTGCGGAGGAACAATCACTGAAGAAAGCTTCGTGACACTTGTCCTCGCCGGGCTCGGGCCAGAATGGAGAACCACACGATCGCTTCTTCGCGCCCACGGAAGGATTTCGGAGATGCACCTCTGCGCCGAGCTTCACGCTGAACAACAGGAGATGGACCTGTTCGAAGAAAGACAACCAAGGAAGCAGCAGCAGTTAGTCTTCTACACTCAACGAAGAAACGACAACACCTACAATCGACGCGGCAAACAAGAACGCGACAACAGGGGATTTACCTTCGTGCCGCCGTTCTGCCACAACTGCCAGACTTCCGGGCACTCCAAGGTCAACTACAACCGCCCTCGCGTTTACCGTCCAGCAGACCCACAAGTCGCTTCCACTCAAGCAAGTCCCCCAAGACGCTCTTCAACATCTGCACAACAGACACCAAATATTATCAATTGCATGGTACACATCGACAACTGCGCACCCGGCTCACCACCCACTTACGCGCCAGACGAAGAAGAGCTCCCGCCACCGCGCTCACAAGGCCTTCAAGTCAATCCAACATATGCTGCGGTCGCCAACGCCGAACCCACCGGGCGAAACACCTGGTTCTTGGACAGCTGCTGCGGGCAACACATGTGCTCCTCAGGAGGATTCGTGCAACAGGAGAAACGCCTCAACCGCGACGTCGTCATCAGCATCGCCAACAACGAAAATCTGAAGACAAACAGACAAGGCGTGGTTTCAGTTACAATCCATGGAGACAAACGTCATACTTCAGCTCAACAAAGTCCTCATTGTCGACAACCTGGGATACAACCTACTAAGCGTAAGCCAACTAATGGCCAAGGAGATTCACCTGGAGTGCGGCTCCTACTCCAACGAGTTTCGGCTATAGCACGGAAAGGGTGGCCTCTTCATCGGTCGTGCCCTCCTGAAATCCGGCGTCTTCGTGTTGGACTTCGTCCCCGATCGCGGTACTGCCGACAGCGACGGCATCGTATCATTCGCAGCCTGGACACACCCGCCGGATCTTGATCTAGAATTCGACAGTGACGGCTTCTGGCACTCCAACACCATACCTGCAGCAGAAAGAACACGAGCATTAGCAGTCATCAGACAAGAAAGACAAGTACCCGCGAGTATCCCAACCAAACCATCACCTGCAGTAGCAGCAGCAGGACCCAGCCGAGTCCCACCACCGGCGATCCGAGGACCGCCAACCGAAGCAGACCAACTTATGCCCATCACACGAGAAGTTTGTCGAAGTCCCGCCACAGTCGTCGCGTTCTTCTCCAACGCCGACATATACCACCGCTCGCCGGGTCATCGCGCTTCCGACGACATCTGGCACCAACGCCTCGGGCACCCTGCAAACAGCACGATACTACAAACAATCCAAGCAGAGGTGTTAGAACGCAACGCCCTCCTAACGACGAGCGGCCAAGAACTTCGAAGACCACGAGCACGGTGCTTCACGTGCCCCGAAGCAGATCTTCCCCATCAGCCTTTTCCATCTCATCACAACCCAAGCGCACCTACCTACGCTCTGATGGAAAAAGTCTACAACGATATTTTAAACATGCCTCGAGAAGACACCGAAGCCGACTTCAACTACGTCATCACGTTCATCGACGCAGCAACCAGATACGTCTGGCACTTCAATCTCAAGACGCGCGATCAAGCTTTCGACGCCTTCACAACGTGGCTTCCCATCGCCGAACGAGAATCAGGAACCAAGCTCAAGAGCTTCCAGTCAGACGGTGCACTGGAATACCAGTCACAACGCTTCAGGACCTATCTGGCGGAAAGAGGAATCAGACGCCTGGTGTCTCTGCCCTATGCTCACCAGCAGCAGGGGGTCGCAGAACGCATGAACCGGACCTTGCAGACGACGATGCGAAAACTGCTTCTGGGAATGAGGCTGCCCACCACACTGTGGCCAGACGCGATAACACATGCAGTTCACCTGCACAACCTGCTGTCCTCGTCATCGCTTCCCAACAACGCATCACCGCACCTGTTGTGGACAAGAAAAAGGGGCAGCACAAAATTACTACGAGTTTTTGGCTGCATGGTACATACAGACCCCACACAGCCCGAGCAGGACGCTTCACACAACGAGCTCGGTGGGGACTACACCTCGGCATCGCCAAACATTTCACGCGTGGAAAATTCTCGACATACAAGACAAAAATACCGTGGCATCACGTAATGTTATCTTCTACGAGCGACTGACGCTGCACCATTACCTGGACAACATTGCCCACACACAAGACCCCACCGACGGCTTCTCCAAACTCCGTTCCTTCGCCGACCGTGCTGCCGAAGCTGACGCGGCAGAAGAAGACGTACCTGAAGCCTCGGAAGCTGCCGGACCACTCCCATTCTGTTCCGTACCTGTTCCACTCGACGAAGACAATCCTCTCGATAGCAACAACCTCGACACCTTTTACCACTTTGCTGACCAAGGTTACATTACACCCCACCCAGTCGACACAAATGTTTCAGAACGCATCGGTCCCAACTTCTTACCTGACCCAGAAGACGGTGACGAAGCAGCTTATTCCGGGAATGAAAATTCCCCTCGACACACACCCACAGGACTGCAGATTTTAGGCCTCTGGGTCTCCGTCCAGCATCCGCCGCCGCCTTCTCCGCGAGAGCCTTCGACCCTGTCGCAGGCTCTGGGGGGGGAATATAAGGCGAAATGGAAGGAAGCGATGGAAAAGGAGTTAAAGGCTCTGCAAGACCGGAAAACATGGAAACTGGTACCTGCAACAAGCATCAACGGGAAAAACGTCCTCTCGGGGAAATGGGTGTACCGCATTAAGACCAACTCAGACGGCTCCATCGAACGATTCAAAGCTCGATGGGTCGTACGAGGCTTCGATCAACGATACGGGACCGACTACACAGAAACCTTCGCTCCAGTCTCCCGTCACACCTCATTACGCATCCTACTCGCCGTCGCGGCCACGAAGACATTACCACTACGCCAAATCGACGTCGCGAATGCGTTCCTATACGCACCTGTGGACGCCGAGATTTTCGTCGAACAACCCCACGGATTCATCGACGACCCCACGAAAGTATGCCAACTGACAAAATCCTTATACGGGATCAAGCAAGCCCCGCGGCTCTGGCAGCAGCATCTCCACGGCCGTCTCGCAAAAATCGGATTCCTACAGCTGCCGCATGGCCAAGGAATGTACCGACTGCAGAAGGGAAGAGAGTATATCCTACTCATCGTCTACGTCGACGACCTGCTCTACATCGGCTCCACTACCGACATCGCCACCTGGTTCGAACGGGAGCTGAAAGAAGACTTAACACTCACGGTGTCCGACGAAGTGACCCAGTACCTAGGACTGAATGTCGACGAAAACGACACGGCGTTCTACCTACACGCTGGAAAGTACTCAGGCACCGTCGTGAAGAAATTCGGTTTAACACCGACTACTGTCCCAACCCCCTACCACTACGGGAACAACAACAACACCTCCGCAAAACTCCCCGCGAAGCAAATCCAGGAGTATCAACAGAAGCTCGGCTGCCTACTATTCGCAGCAGTAACCTGCCGACCCGACCTGTCCTATAGTGCGAGTCAACTGGCGGCGCATCTGAAGCAATCGGAACAGGAAGATCTTGAGGAGCTCAACCGGGCACTACTCTACTTCGTCTCCACGCCGACGATCGGGCTTACCTACAGCAAAGCGACAACACCGTCCGTACGACTACTCGGATACGTCGACGCCGACCACGCGGGAGATAGGGAAAATCGACGATCTAGGACGGGCTACATCTACCGACTAGAACCCATCGGAACTATCTCCTGGCAGTCGAGCAAGCAGGAGTTAATCGCACTATCCTCGGCTGAAGCAGAGTATATCGCCCTTTGTACTGCGACCAAGGAAGGACTCTACCTGCGGGAGTTACTCGAGGAAGCGAAGATCGCGACCCTGCCCGCCTTCTCACTCCTCTGCGACAACCAATCTGCGATCGAAATCGCGAACAAGGACGGCTTCGCCAACCGAACCAAGCACATCGCCCTGCGGTACTTCTTCGTCAAGGATGAAATCGCGAAGGGGAGACTTCAACTCAGTTACTGCTCGACGACAGAAATGGCCGCAGATTATCTGACGAAGAAATTGGCGAAAGCAAAATTCGACTACTACATGCTCCTGACCGGGCAAACAAACGTCACCGGATCTAAACATGCCAGCACTCCAGAAACGAAGGGGAGTGTTGGAAATATCTCAAAGGACTTAAGCGTTTCTGAAGTATAACACTGTACTCGAGGAAGACTACAGGGGAGCACGCGAGTCAACGGAGGTTGCACGAGGGGGCGGACAAAGAATACGAAAAGACTCGAAAGGTCGCAACTGGAGGTTACGACTGACCGTTACAACATCACGGATGGTAACCGAAGCGGCAATCGAGTCGCTGTGCGACTCGATAAACCGTTCCTGTAACTGTATTCTACAACTGCTTTCTTATCTTCTATATATTGCTGTATGCTTGTTTCTTTAATCAATCACTTGTTCTCACATACTAGTACAAGGGTTCAACCGTCTCAACTTCCGCTGCACTACTCAAAGTCTCAAGTCTTCACAGCTGGGACTTAGTCTCTGAAAGGATCCTAAGGGCTTTTTCTCAGCCCAATATGGTATGAGAGCTGGTTAGAGACCAAACTCCCAGCAACTGCGCTCCATCAACCTGCAACTCAACTCAATTCAACGACTTCATTGATCACAAGACATGGACAGCAAGGGCAAGAAAGTCTCTACGGGCTCACCCAGCGGCCAAGAAACTCAACACGGCAACTCTGGTCTGCACACTTCAGGACTGCAGACAGAGACCGGGACTGCTCAAGAAACAACGGGAAGAGTACCAGAGATGGTGACTCCATCTCCCTCTTCAAGCGTGGACCCCAAGCTTATGGAAAGGTTCTTCAGCTTCATGTCGCACTTCGACCAGCAGCAGCAGACAAGGACATCTGCGCATTCAACACAGAGCAATGGAGGAAACATGGGATTAGCGCCGATGAGCCTCGACAACTCATCGTTTGGGCGACACAATCAAGCGCCTACCTTTGCGCCTTATCACTCTTCACCGGGGACGTTCGAGTTCATGCCGCCCCGTGCCCAACCAACAGCAGCTGCATCACAACAAACACCAAACGAAATCTTAAGTCTCCAGGCGCAGTTTTCACACGTGATTAAACTGCAGACATCCTCACCGTTCAACGGACACGACTTCTTTACCTGGAGCTTCGAGTTCGAGCTGCTGATGGAGGCTGCGCACCTTCTGGGATACTTCAACGGGTCCCTGCCATTCCCAAGCAACGGCACTGGAAAGGAACAAGAAATCTTCACGTATCAGTCGCTGCTGGCGTATACGGTTCTCCTGAGAAACCTGTCACCACAAGAACAGCAGAGCATCAGAACATACAGGAGCTATGGAAACTCCGCGGAGCTTGCATGGCACCATCTCAAGTGCCTCTACCAAGCAAACGACAGCGTGACACAAAGCAGACTCATGCAACAACTGACAACAATACAAATGAAGACCGGGGAAAAGGCGATGCAGTATATGAGCCGCTGCCAGACCCTCCGCGACCGCCTGCTTCGGTGCGGAGGAACAATCACTGAAGAAAGCTTCGTGACACTTGTCCTCGCCGGGCTCGGGCCAGAATGGAGAACCACACGATCGCTTCTTCGCGCCCACGGAAGGATTTCGGAGATGCACCTCTGCGCCGAGCTTCACGCTGAACAACAGGAGATGGACCTGTTCGAAGAAAGACAACCAAGGAAGCAGCAGCAGTTAGTCTTCTACACTCAACGAAGAAACGACAACACCTACAATCGACGCGGCAAACAAGAACGCGACAACAGGGGATTTACCTTCGTGCCGCCGTTCTGCCACAACTGCCAGACTTCCGGGCACTCCAAGGTCAACTACAACCGCCCTCGCGTTTACCGTCCAGCAGACCCACAAGTCGCTTCCACTCAAGCAAGTCCCCCAAGACGCTCTTCAACATCTGCACAACAGACACCAAATATTATCAATTGCATGGTACACATCGACAACTGCGCACCCGGCTCACCACCCACTTACGCGCCAGACGAAGAAGAGCTCCCGCCACCGCGCTCACAGGCCTTCAAGTCAATCCAACATATGCTTGCGGTCGCCAACGCCGAACCCACCGGGGCGAAACACCTGGTTCTTGGACAGCTGCTGCGGGCAACACATGTGCTCCTCAGGAGGATTCGTGCAACAGGAGAAACGCCTCAACCGCGACGTCGTCATCAGCGTCGCCAACAACGAAAATCTGAAGACAAACAGACAAGGCGTGGTTTCAGTTACAATCCATGGAGAAACGTCATACTTCAGCTCAACAAGTCCTCATTGTCGACAACCTGGGATAAAACCTACTAAGCGTAAGCCAACTAATGGCCAAGGAGATTCACCTGGAGTGCGGCTCCTACTCCAACGAGTTTCGGCTATAGCACGGAAAGGGTGGCCTCTCATCGGTCGTGCCCTCCTGAAATCCGGCGTCTTCGTGTTGGACTTCGTCCCCGATCGCGGGTACTGCGACAGCAACGGCATCGTATCATTCGCAGCCTGGACACACCCGCCGGATCTTGATCTAGAATTCGACAGTGACGGCTTCTGGCACTCCAACACCATACCTGCAGCAGAAAGAACACGAGCATTAGCAGTCATCAGACAAGAAAGACAAGTACCCGCGAGTATCCCAACCAAACCATCACCTGCAGTAGCAGCAGCAGGACCCAGCCGAGTCCCACCACCGGCGATCCGAGGACCGCCAACCGAAGCAGACCACTTATGCCCATCACACGAGAAGTTTGTCGAAGTCCCGCACAGTCGTCGCGTTCTTCTCCAACGCCGACATATTACCACCGCTCGCCGGGTCATCGCGCTTCCGACGACATCTGGCACCAACGCCTCGGGCACCCTGCAAACAGCACGATACTACAAACAATCCAAGCAGAGGTGTTAGAACGCAACGCCCTCCTAACGACGAGCGGCAAGAACTTCGAAGACCACGAGCACGGTGCTTCACGTGCCCCGAAGCAGATCTTCCCCATCAGCCTTTTCCATCTCATCACAACCCAAGCGCACCTACCTACGCTCTGATGGAAAAAGTCTACAACGATATTTTAAACATGCCTCGAGAAGACACCGAAGCCGACTTCAACTACGTCATCACGTTCATCGACGCAGCAACCAGATACGTCTGGCACTTCAATCTCAAGACCGTGATCAAGCTTTCGACGCCTTCACAACGTGGCTTCCCATCGCCGAACGAGAATCAGGAACCAAGCTCAAGAGCTTCCAGTCAGACGGTGCACTGGATACCAGTCACAACGCTTCAGGACATATCTGGCGGAAAGAGGAATCAGACGCCTGGTGTCTCTGCCCTATGCTCACCAGCAGCAGGGGGTCGCAGAACGCATGAACCGGACCTTGCAGACGACGATGCGAAAACTGCTTCTGGGATGAGGCTGCCCACCACACTGTGGCCAGACGCGATGACACATGCAGTTCACCTGCACAACCTGCTGTCCTCGTCATCGCTTCCCAACAACGCATCACCGCACCTGTTGTGGACAAGAAAAAGGGGCAGCACAAAATTACTCGAGTTTTTGGCTGCATGGTACAGTACAGACCCCACACCCGAGCAGGACGCTTCACACAACGAGCTCGGTGGGGACTACACCTCGGCATCGCAAAACATTTTCACGCGTGGAAAATTCTCGACATACAAGACAAAAATACCGTGGCATCACGTGATGTTATCTTCTACGAGCGACTGACGCTGCAGCATTACCTGGACAACATTGCCACACACAAGACCCCACCGACGGCTTCTCCAAACTCGTTCCTTCGCCGACCGTGCTGCCGAAGCTGACGCAGCAGAAGAAGACGTACCTGAAGCCTCGGAAGCTGCCGGACCACTCCCATTCTGTTCCGTACCTGTTCCACTCGACGAAGACAATCCTCTCGATAGCAACAACCTCGACACCTTTTACCACTTCGCTGACCAAGGTTACATTACACCCCACCCAGTCGACACAAATGTTTCAGAACGCATCGGTCCCAACTTCTTACCTGACCCAGAAGAGACGGTGACGAAGCAGCTTATTCCGGGAATGAAAATTCCCCTCGACACACACCCACAGGACTGCAGATTTTAGGCCTCTGGGTCTCCGTCCAGCATCCGCCGCCGCCTTCTCCGCGAGAGCCTTCGACCCTGTCGCAGGCTCTGGGGGGGA